TTTGTATACTTATGGGATCTTAAAAACAGGGTAATAAAAAAGAATAGTTAATTGGTGATATTTCTGTCGTAAATACAGTCTGTATCTCTCCTGACGGTAGAAAATTAGCATCTGGTGGTGAGTTAAATTCCATCTATATATGGGATGTTAAGATACGATATAAAACAACCAAATTAGATGGTCATACTAACTCTGTAGTTGCAGTATGTTTCTCTCCTGATAGTACTATATTAGCATCTGGTAGTTTGGATACCTCTATCCGTTTATGGAATGTTTAAACAGGAAAATAAATAGCCAAATTAGATGGTCATTCAGATTGGGTTTAATCAGTCAATTTCTCTCCTGATGGCACTACTTTAGCATCTGGCAGTTATGATACCTCTATCCGTTTATGGGATATTAAGACAGGATAATAAAAAGCCAATTTAAATTGTGATTCCAATTGGGTTTATTCAGTCAATTTCTCTCCTGATGGCACTACATTAGCATCTGGTAGTTCAGATAGGTATATCCGTTTATGGGATGTCAAGACAGGCTAATAAAAAGTCAAATTAAATAGTGACTCAATAAATGCACGGTCAGTCAAATTCTCTCCCGATGGTACTACGTTAGCATCTTGTAGTGATGATAACTCTATCTCTGTATGGGATGTTAAGACAGAATAATAAGAAGCCAAATAAGATTTTCATTGTGATTCTGTCAATACAGTCTGTATCTCTCCTGATGGTACTACATTAGCATCTGGAAGTGCTGATAAGTCTATCCGTTTATGGGATATTAAAACAGGATAATAAAAAGCAAAATTCGATGGTCATAAGGGAAATATAATGTCAGTCTCTTTCTCTCCTTATTTTACCTAATTAGCATCTGGAAGTGTTGATAATTCAATCCGTTTATGGGATATTAAAACAGGATAATAAAAAGCAATATTAGATGGTCATATGGGAACTGTAATGTCAGTCTCTTTCTCTCCTAATGGTATTATATTAGCATCGGGTAGTTTGGATAAGTCTATCCGTTTATGGGATATTTATACAGAGTAAGAAATAGCCAAACTACTTGGTCATGAAAGAGGTGTTAATATACTCTGCTTCTCTCCTGATGGTACTACATTAGCATCTGGTAGCGAAGATAACTCAATCCGTTTATGGGATGTTAAGACGCGATAAAAAAAAGCCTAATTTGAAGGTCATAACGGAAATGTAATGTCAATCTGTTTCTCTTTTGATGGGAATTCATTAGCATCTGGTAGTGAAGACAAGACGATTCGTTTATGGGATGTTAAGACAAAAAAAAAAAGAGCAAAAT